TTGCTTGAGCCCAGGAGCTGGAGGTTGCTGTGAGCTGTGATGCCACAGCATTCTACCCAGGGAGACAGCTTGAGGCTCTGTCTCAAAAAAAAGAAAAAGAGAAATATTTAAAAATAAATGAAAAATTATGGGTCAATGGGTTTTTCATTCTTCTACTCTTTTCGTTTGGATAATTCTTTTTCCTATTCAATATTCAATAATAAGACTGTTTGCTATGTTTTTTATTCATTCTTTCATTCATTTCCCTCTGTACATTTAGTTTTTTCCTAATTCTGTGTAATGTGCCTTGGGTTTCATCATGCAGAAAGATGCACAAGAGCACTAAGTGGGACAACATTTCTCAGCTAATTTTGGCAGATGCCCCAACTACTTCAGTACCTTTTTAATCTCTGCCCACACCCTCTTCCCAAAATGCAGAATTCAGCATTCTTCTGAAATTCTTTTCTTCTCTCCTTCAAAACAACTATTTATGTACTAATACAGTATTTGAATAATACAAGCTCAGTCTTGACTACTTTCTCCAGGCAGATTTTTTAAAACAGGAAATTACCAGCATTCTTTTTAACTGGTGACACATTTGAGTAAGATTCAAGATGTTTAAAAGTTTTTAAAAAATCTGCATCTTTCAAAAAACCTGCATAGTGAATAAAGTGGCAAGACATCTTAAGGACTAAAAAGGATATTGATTTCGTCCCCCCCACCCTTGCCCATTTAGTTATTAATATAGATTTTTACATATTTATTTTATTTACTCTATTAATTCTCTTTGGTTTTATGTGATCTTCCTGGCAGATATTTGAAGTTCATTGTAAGAAATATGAATAATCCACATTTGACTATCTTTTGCCCCTCTTCTTAATCATACATATTTTGAGGAGTCTGCAGGAATTGTGACATGTGTTTATAAACAAGTCCAGTCATTTACTAATGAACATTAACTTTTCTTATCTGCCTGACCATCTGCTTGCTAAGCGTACTCCATCAACTGATTGTTGCTGCCATTTCTCCAGGTTATATAAACCACTCCTTGGTCACCATGTTAAGTTTTGCTGGATTCAGGTCCTGTTTTGTGTGGGTAAAACCATTGTCATGAGTAGCATCACTTCTACCCCACCCTTGCTACCACTTCTGTGGGGTCACAAAGAGAACCTTTATAAATTAGGAGGAGAATGTCTTTCTCTGCCTTTTGTTCTGTGCTTTTTAGTGGGAAACTAGAGCAGTGTTGTTTGCATATCAGAGCATTTTAAGAAATATCTTGTACATTTTTTAAAGTCCTCCCACACCCATTGGAACTAGATATGAATCCTTGGGTGCTGAGCTGGAAGACAAGTCCAGGTTATAGACTCCTCTACTTTTCTATTCTCAGAATTTCCTGGGTATCCAAATGGAGGATTAACAGCTTTACTCTTGGCATTTGAAGCTCTCTACAGAACTCATTTTGCTTTTCCCAAAACACCAAAATTTCTGATTAGTGTAGGGCTTTCAAACTTAGTAAAGATAAAGGGAGTGGACCTATTGGTTTTTCAAGTTAAAAGCATTTTTCTGCCTCTTAGAAATAATCAATGGAGATTATAAAGAAAACTATATTTCATTCTTCATTTCTGTTATCAGGAGGAAGTTTTGACAAATTATTATTGAACTGACTTAAACTGAAAGGCAGAATTTCATATGTTGTCCTCTTTTGATATGTAAGGAAATTAGCCCTTTAGTTTCAACTATACAATTTTATATTTAATTTGCATGATAAAAGATTTATGTAGCTACAAACAGCTAAACTTCAGCTTTGTTTCTGTGAAAATTGTTGTAAATTGGAATTATTGGTGTCTGACTAAACATAAATTATGGAATGAAATTTTTTTTTCTCTTATAGTCTATAAGTTAGTGAACTTTGATGCTCATTACAGAAAGAAGTACGTACCTGTTTCACCACTTTCTTCATTCCCAATGACATATTAGTCCATTTGTGTATTCTAATGTAAATACCTTTTCTTGTGTAGAAACTTTTCCAGATATGTATTTTTTCATAAATCACCTATTGTACATAGTGCTTATTCATATAAGGTTAGAGATTATGTTCATTACTTCTTTTAGTTTTTTCTATATAAATTTGCATATAATAAACATTATGTAGTAGCAGAAGCAGCAACAGCAGCAATGGTAAAATAATTGAGTAAATACATGCAAAATACATTCCTGATGTAGGTGGTTTATTGTGCCTATTATATAGCTGGGAGAATCTTAGAAATAGAGAAGTTAAGTAATTTGTCCAAGTTAGTTTGTAAGCTGAGAAGTCAGAATAAGAAAACAGGATATCAATATTCTAGAATCTACATATTGAATTAAGTAGATACAAAATACATACTTATTTAACTAATTAACAAATTGTTTTAAACAATTTCTCTAAATGAAACATTCTCTAAATGAAAAGTCTGAATTTACTTATCCTAATACAGTTAAATATTTTAGTTTTTAAAAATTCTAAGAGTCTCTAAGTGAAACATTCTCTAAATAAAATGTCTGAATTTACTTATCCTAATACAGTTAAGTATTTTAGTTTTTAAAAAATCTAAGGTGACAATTCTGCAATAAGCCTCATAAAACTAACTGAAAGTAATCCCAAAGAATGTGGAAACATTTTGGGTAGTGGTGGGCTCACTAGAGTCACTTCCAAAGTGATAACTCTGAAAGATAATACTCAATTGAATTGAAAAATTATTAACATGCTTAATATTCCCCTTTCTCTACTGCTTGCTGAAAATGAATTGCACCCTCTCTCCTAGTAATGCAGTCCACTAGCTCATCTAATCTGTACCTGTGTATGTGTCTATATAGTAGCAGCCAGAAGCCAGCATCTGCTTATAGCAGAGCAAATTTGGGGATCCAGGGGTACTTTGTTTCATCTCTTACTCTTGTATTTTAATGCAAAAAAGAGAGAATTCAGAGCAATCCAAAGTTTATGATTGGTATAACCTGTTTCTTTCTTACCCTTTCATCTTCATCTTTCCATCACTACCAACCATGCACCTTGACCTATTGCCATCCTTAGAACATCCTGTCCTTTTACTCAAACTGTCTAGGCTCATTCCTATGTCTTTATGTTTCCGTACAGTAAGAGTATTATAATTGTGAGCAGACTCTGGGGCTAGTGTGCATAGTTTCAAAGCTTATCACTTCTACTTGTTGGCTGTGGGATCTCTTTGTACTTCACTTTCCTCTTTATAAGAGTAATGATGATACTACCTCAGAGAGTAGCTATGAAGATTAAATAAGTTAATACAGGCTGGGTGTGGTGGTTCATGTTTATAATCTCAGCACTTGGGGAGGCCAAAGCTGAAGGATCGCTTGAGCCCTCTAAAGTTCAAGACCAGGTTGGGCAACACAGTGAGATCCCATCTCTACTGTGAAAAAATTAGCCATAGATGGTGGCGTGCATCTGTAGTGTTACCTACTCAAGTTGATGGGCCGAGAGGATTGCCTGAGCTTAGGAATTGAAGGTTGCAGTGAGCTCTAATCATACCACTGCATCATTCCAGTTATGGGGACAACAGAGGAAGACTTTGTTTCACCAAAAACAAACAAAAAAGAATACATAAAATGTTTAGAACAAGTATTTAGTATTTAGTCTAAGTGTTTAGTATTACCTGTTGTTATTGTCATAATTTTCTTTTTTATTATCATCATCATCATCTAACTGGTAAAATCCCATGCTTAATTTGAAGACCCATTAACATTTCACTACTTCTTTGTAGCTTTATCACAGCCCAGCTGTTCAGGCAGCATTGGGCTTCTCTTCTGTGCTGCTACATTTTTCACTCTGCCATTTCAATGCTTAGAACATTGTATCTTGTTAGTTGAACATGCATCTGTTTTTTGATGTTTGTAAGAGCCTTGAGGTCAAATGTAAATGTAAAGGAAGGGCAAGGAAGTTTGTACTATGTCAGAAGTTATTTTGGGTTATCACTCATATGGGAAGTGTCAGAAGTATTTTTATTCACTCCTAATGTTAAAGAAGCTGAGAGTTTTTTTCTCTATTGAAAGATGTGTTAAAATATTTTTTAAATTTTTTTGTTATTTAAAAGTTTGTTGGAAAGAATACTTATTTTATGTTTTTAATAAGTAAAATGTCCGTAGCTCAAGTTACTATATGCATTTCTGATATATATTATAGCATATATAACATAATACCATATGTATTCCAAAGTTATAAAAATTCCTTTCAAATATTTGTAAAATGTTAACTTTTTTCCTGATGCAGAATTGCCTTCTTCCAATCAGTCTAGGTTGATGAGGTTTTACTTGATTAAAAAAAAATTAATAGAGTCCTTCACTAGCCCCTTCTATAAAAATGGGAGGAAATACAAGAGGTATGTTTTTACTATCTTGGTTTTTTTAAAAATGCAGTTAGAATAGAATATCTGGATGTATCATAACATGCAGATTAACAAACTAATTTGAATGCTAATGTGGTTTCATACAGTTTACTTTTAAGCAATTGTGTTTCTTATAGTAATAACTGTATACCATTTACCTTGCAAATTCCACTTTAATTAGCCTTGTTTGTATGTGAGCTACAAATGTGGGAGATTATAAATATTGCTTTATATATTAAAAATGGACCACAAAATGTATTTGTCCTTAATAACTACCTAATAGACTTTTCTTTTCCTTAAAAATGAAACTTTAAAAAATGCTTAAATACTAAATAACTAAATATACTCAGAGCTTAACCAAACATATGCTATTGAAAACCTAAATACTAAATATATTCTTCTTACCACATTTCTCAATGTGATGACATACTAAATCCAGGAAAAGAAGTATATTTTTCCTTTTTCTAGAGTTTATTTCTGGATGGTTAACCAAGGATATATTAAAGTATATTTATTCTAATGGACTGTATCTCAAATATCAGTAGTGGCAAATGATTATTTTTAATGTTTGGTTTTTTTGGCAATACACAATAATTAATTGGCACCTCTTTTTAATTATTTTTTAAACAGAACATAGATTCCTGTTCTGCCATCAGATGTCTTTCTACTTGACTGAACTGCACCTGTGGTCTTTGAAGAATACCTTACACATTGGGGGTAAATGAGCTCTAGATTAATTTCAGTATTTTTCGAGTATGTTACAACATTATAAATAAGTACTAGCAAAAGTTAGAGCCTAGATTTTCCAGCTAGAGTTGTATTCTTTTCTTTGTTCTTAATGAAAAATTGGTTAATGGAAAAAATTGCTTTTAATTATTCTTATTTTTTTTCCAGCTTAGTTAGATTGTTAGCTTTGGAAAATAATTTTAATGATTCAGTATTTGTTTCCTCTTAAGATATACGCATGTTTAATTTTTTCCTGGGATTATTAACATAATAACAGATTTACATTCATAAATATTTACAGGCTAGCTAATGGTAAAGGCATTTCTATTTGATATTAAAATAACATTTCAAATATATAGCTCAGATGTGCTATTATTTTCATGTTCTTTATATTTCACATTTCTTGAGAGGGAATAACATAAGTGTGTTTTAACATTGCTTATTAACATTATAGGATAAGTGTATTTCATCAGGAAACATTTTTAAAAAAATTTTTCTTCTCTTATTATCCAAAGCAACAGTTATATTTAGGAGGGTACTATTATTTATAGATCTTCAGTATAATTACTAAGGAAATGGTTTACCTTCCAAAGTATTTCTTTATATCAAAATATATAGTTATAATGAATGTAATATTTTTATTATTTACTTAAAAATGTATAAGGACAGAACTTTCAGTTAAACAAAGAGGATTTGTTTCCTCTTAAAACTCTAAATGAGAGTAAATGAATTAAAATAAAGAGGGCATAAACCTACAAGGAATAAGAGAAAAGGACAATATTTGGAAGATAGAAGGAATGGAGGAATTAGCAGAGCTAAAATCTGTTTATCAGTTGCTTATAGAGGTGAATTTCAATGACAGCCACTTTGTATTATATCTCAAAGTTCTGGAAAGGAACAGAAATTTGAAGAGCCTTTTTTTTTTTTTTTGAGACAGAGTCTCACTGTGTCACCCTCGGTAGAGTGCTATGGCTTCACAGCTCACAGCAACCTCAGACTCTTGGGCTTATGTGATTCTCTTGCCTTGGCCTCCCAAGTGGCTGGGACTACAGGTGCCTGCCACAATGCCCAGCTATTTTTTCGTTGCAGTTGTCACTGTTGTTTAGCAGGCCCAGGTTGGGTTTGAACCCACCTGTTTCTGTGTATGTGGCTAGCACCCTAGCCACTGAGTTACAGGCGCTGAGTCAGAAGAACCATATATTAACAGAAGATGAGGATATGGCATGAGAGTAATAACAAAGAGAGTTGAAAATCTGCAAAAGAAGTTGTGGGACACCTTTTACGCTATGGAAATATTTAATTAGGGAGGCTCTAAACGTGGGGAAAACAGGGCCAGTGGAAGAACTGCTGAACTGAAAATAGGGATGAAATGGTAGACTAAATACTGGTGGGTGAGATCCTCTTACTCCCATTTGCTTCTAAGAATGTCATACTCATTTGTACACTTTCCAAGAAAAAAGGTACTTGATTCCTCTCTGAAGCAGCTAGTTGCATGGCCCCCAGTAGAAGACCTATTATTTACATTGAGTTTCCAGTCAGCTTTCTAGTGCTTGCTTCTAAATATGAACAGAAAGCTAAGGATCACCAGATATTTGAGGAATGTCTTAAACTAGAAAGAAAAAAAGAGAAACAAATTGGTGAAAGGATCTCTAAAGAAATAGAGATAATGTAGGAAGATGAAAAAAAGTGCAATGGAGACCTAAGCAAAGATCCTAAATCCATGAAGCAATAAACAAAACACAGAAGCTTCAAGAACCATATGAAAGTATACAGATCTCTTGGAAGTTATTATAAAAATATGTTGAGTAAAAAACTTCAAAACTCAAACGTAAAAGAAAAATTTCTCAGAAAATAGAAAAAAAAAATCCATGAAGGAAGTGAACTTATTTCATTGCTGGTGAGGATTTTTAATGGAAGTATTTTCTAGTCATAATTGCCTCTTTTACATCTTATTCCCTTATTTTCTTATATCTAGGTTTTGTGCTTCTTTGAGATCACCAATCTTTTAATATTTTGTTTCTCCTAGCCCATTGGGACCCTATTCTCTTATCTTTCTACCCAGCTTAGACCCTGTAGTTGGAAATCTGATCTATTCTATCTTGATTTCCTTTTACTCCTAGTTTTCTATTACATGCCCAGCAGACTCCTTCGCTGCCCCTCTCTCTGTCCTAGAGTTTTCTGTCCCTCCTTCTTCTATTCTGAGGCAGTGAATGGTTTTTCGAGAAGGATCCAGTACTGGTGCAAAGTGGTCCTGTTGGGAAGGTTATGGTCTTCAGCCCCCTGAGTCTTCAATAGGGCCTATCTTTTCTCTGTTAGGAACATTCTTCTCTTTGAGTCTGTATGAAACCCTGCTTCTTCTTTAAGGCTCAGCTTTAATAAGTCACTTCATAAGCCTTCCCTGTCATCTAGACACAGTTAGTAATGTTCTCCTTATGTTTGACATTTAAAAGTATTTTTTAAATTTTTGAAATAATCACAAACTTAACAGAAAAATTGTCAGTACAGAGAATTTATTTTTCTTGAACAATTTGAGAGTAAGCTGTAACTTGATGCCTTATGAACCCCAAATGCATTAGTTTTTATTTTCTACAAAAAAGATTTTGTCCTGCATCACCATTATATAGTCACAAAATCAGGAAATTAGCAATGATGGACTTCAGTCTAAATTGACTCATTCATCAGATGTCCTATTTTAGTAGAGGGATTTGTTCATAGTCATGTTGTATTTAGTTGTCATTTCTTTTTAGTCCTTCGTTCAGGAACAGATCCTTCATACTTTTTTTTTTTTTTAACTTCCATTGCCTTAACATTTTAGACCAGTTATTATGTAGGATGTTCCTAAATTTATTTGTATTTGAAATTTCCTCACAATTAGATTCAGGTTACGCGTGTGTGATGGGAATATCCCAGAAGTGGTACTGTGTTCTCAGTGTATTCTATCAGGTGATTCACATTTTGAATGTCCCTTTTCTGATGGTTTTTGTGATTACTTGATTGAGATGGTGTCTGCTAGGCTCCTCTACTACAAAGTTACTTTCTCCTTTGTGATTAATAAGTGTTTTATAAGAGGTATCTTGAAATTATGTAAACTTTATTTTCTGTTTATTTTATCTCCATGGACTCAAATTTCTTATTTTATTCAGTTATTATAATCTGTTACTATAATTATTTTGATGTTTAAGTTGTCCCTGATGTTGCCAGAAGGACCCTCTTCAAGCTGGTTCTGTGTCTTTTTGACATGTCTCTGTCAACATTTGAGCACTTGCATTCTTTTTGACAGAACAGATATTTCAGGATTATCTTATGCTTTCCTTTCCACAGCCTTGGAATCAGCCACTTCTCTAAGGAGCTTGGTTCCTTTTAGAGGAGAAGGGTGTCTAGAAGCTAAGTTGTATTTCACATGTACTTATCGCTATTGAAGTATTTCTGTTCCTAGGCCCTCTGTGGACAGAACTTAAGGAATATATGTATATATGAATGTATGTATGTATGTGTGTATATACACATATTCATATTTGTTTAGAGATAGGATCTTGCTGTGTTACCTGGGCTTGTCTTAAATGCTTAGGCTCAGGCAATCCTCCTGCTTCAGTCTTCTGAGTAACTGGGGTTATAAGTGTGAGCTATCACAGCTGGCTCCATATTCACTCATGTTTACTTCTGCTGTCATTTCTCTATCTATCTCTATATATCGAAACTGTTAAGTTCTTGCTAGTACTTCAGTCTGCCACCACAAGGTTCAGTTAATGTACCCGTGGCCGCTCCACCCTCCATGGATATCCTTCTCACCTTGTGTGAGTTTTGACACTCCATGTTGATGTCTATGCAAATGTCCTCTTAAGCTTACTCAGCTTCTAATAACCCATAATCAGGCCATAGCCCTGTGAGAATTTCCTTACTCTGCTAGGGTTCTAACATACCAGCCAGATGTAGACTTCTCTGGTGAATCTCTTACCTCACTGAGCTCTGGAAACTTGTAGGGCAGTTCTCCTTAGCTGGATGCCTTCCTTATCTTGCTTGGGTTTTGACAATTCTGCTCTGACTAGATGATTCAGGGTCCTTTAAGATCTTCATGGTTTTATTTCAGAGTTGCAGCACATATTTGAATGCATGGAATGATGGGCATAATTATAGGATGGAGTATTTTAATAGAGAATATTGCCAGTGTATGTAATGCCTGTGGTTCTTAGATTAAAAAATATATATTTTATTGAAGTATAACATACATAGATTATAAGAGTATGTTGTGAATTATCAGAAGGTGAACGCACCCATAAAATCACCACCCAGGTCAAGAAATCTAATATTACCAGTGCCCATGATGTACAACTCATGACTTTTCTCAATCCTTACTGGTTGTTTTCAATCTAACTGGTAGCAGTAAACGGAATTCTTTATATGTCTCAACTAATAGCATGATGAATAAAATAAACACACATGATTGACTATTTTGAAAAACTGTATTTGAAAAGTAAATTATAGCAGTAATACATTTTTTTTGAAGTTTTATTCAGTTTGAGAAAGTTTGGAGCAGTCAGTCACTAGGGGGCAGCCTGTACTGCTTCTTCTTTCATAACAGTTGTGTACTCCTAATGTTAGTAACAGAATTATTTTGCATGAAGAAAACAAATGTTCCTTCAGTGAAAGAAATATTTCATTCTTCACAAATATGAAGAAAAAAGGACAAAATTATTTTGTTCTCTTGTATTTAAATAGCAAGAACAGATTCTTTGGTTAAATGAATTTTAACATCTGGAAGTGTAGCTTTGCTTCTTAGGTAGCCCAGCAGAGTGTCTAGATTTAAATGGGTTTAGAAGGCTTTTTGAATTTAAACAAGTTTCAGATAATAATTTATCCATACCTTTCTCTAATCCTCCCTTTCTTTCCTGCAGATTTCCCTCAAATGGGAAATAGATTCTTGAGCTAAATTGGAGAAAAGAAAGCCACAGCTTGGAATCCAACAGTTAGGGCATTTTCTTCCATCCACTGATTTCATTTGGCATTAGTTAGTGGCAGTTCCTTTTGGTAGCGCCCTGTGAAAAATATCAGAGGAAGTGTGAAAGAGAAAATTTGGTCTTTCTTGATTTCAGTTCTTTACTAATCTTTTCCTCATGCCATTCTAGTTTTGTATAAATCTTTTCTCATTAGATTGATAAACTTTCCAGTTTTTGCATATCCCTAGAATAGATGAACCCATCTCCAGATGCTTTTGAGCCATTTTACTTCTAGTAACATAAGGAGACTGTGTCTGCTGTTCTCCTCCCCCCTTCTCCCTGTATAGCATGGTTTGGCTTCTTATTCTCTGGGACTTGTTATATAATTTAATGTTATTTCTTCATTTCTATAGATAGAGACATTGGGATCTACCAGTATTATGACAAGAAAGATACACCAGGTAAAGTACCTATTATACTAAACTAATTTTTATAAACTAAATATTCTAAACTGTGAAATACTGACCATTATTAACTGTTTTTATGAGTTTTCGATAAATTCCAGAATTTATCTAAAAGTCACTTTAGTGTTTTATAAAAATGCTGAGGTTGATACCTATCTATTCTATATAAAGTAAAGTAATATTGAGAAAATGCTGTAGAAGAACATGAAAATTCTCCTTTTACTGCTGATCAGGCTGATAACAGGACAGTCTAGTCACGTTTATTTATCAGTGTCCCAGTAGAGGGCATTGTTAATGCATGGGTCCCCCTGATGCTGGCCTCCCGGATCCTCACCTGATATCTGAAATAGGCATTTCTGAGTGAATGATCAATTTTCTTTATCTGATTAATCCTGTTAATCCCAGAAGTTTTATGATGGGCCAAAAGGTCTCTCTAGCTAGAGTTACTTCCTGTTTTGGTCTCTGTTGAAGTGGGCTTGTGTGAGTATCCTGTGTGCTTAGCTTGGTAGTTAATAGGATGACTTCATGGTTCTGATGATAGACAGAAGCAACTTTTATTCTGGGCTTGGTTGCAGTTCCCTTCCCTATCTGATGAGATTGGAGGCTCAGGATATTGGCCTACCTGTTGTGCCTTTTCACTGCAAATTTTAAAAAAATCTCTATGAAAGGAAAACATCTTAATTATGGCATTTTTTAAACTGTCCTTTAAAGAGTTTAGCATAGTTTATTAACTTCAATAATGTATATAATAGTCATATATAATATTAAAAATATGTATTATAATAAAAATAAATTACTGTTTTTTTCTTCTTTCTTTCTCTCCTCTGCCGTTATACCAGCAACAGAACATGGTAACGTAGAAGAGAAACAGAAGCTGGCAGAGTGTAAGCTTACTTTATATAATCTCGGAATTATTATAAAACTGTAAAATATTCATTATGCACAAATAAGAAAAATTATTCCCTCTAAATTTCTTAAAATTACAGATTCTCATTATTTAGGTACATAAACATGTAAGAATTATATTTGTTGAGCCTTTGTAATTTCCAATTTTGATAAGGTCTCTGCTTATATAAAGACAAACTTTCTTCATGAACTATATAGATATTATTTAATATATTTGAAATAAGTGTACCACTCTTAATTTATTATAGTCACATTTAATTATTCATACTTTGTCTTTGTTTTACTCATTTAAAAAAATAAGATTTGTATTATCAGTGTTAGCATTTTATTCAGTCTCATCTTTTCGGTTGTCAAGTACTGTTACATATATAATATAGCTACAATGTGCTATGGTTTTATTATTGAAAATTAAATAAAATTTATTATTTGATTTAGACTACAGCTGGAACCAAAAATCTCACTTGTTTTCTTGTTTTAAATTGTTGAACTGATATTTAATTTTTAAAAATACTGTATTAGTAGCTACAACACAGATTTTAAAACTTTTACATATGCTCTGCACATCAAAATTATGTTTATAAAACTAAATTAACTTGCTGAAATACGATGTATAATGATTCTACTCTCAAATTTAAATATCTGTATATACTGTCTATCTTATATATATGCATACACATATATACAAATATAAATATAATGCTTTAGAATTATTAATTAGAAGAATCCAAAGATGAATTTCTTTTTATGATAAAGTAGATTTGAATTTAACATTTTGTTAATTCTTTTAAACAGAACTATTTTTAGTTTGTTTTAGGCTAACATTGTGACTCTACTAAATAATTTGTCTTTTTAAAAATTTATTTAAAACAAAACAAAGTCTTATCACTATTGAATTGTGGTATAGATTTTAGAAAAGACTTTTAAATTAAAAAGAGCACTATTAGTGCCTAATTTTTAAAACTTAGCTTTCCCTTAGTTTTAAAAATGCCTAATTTTAATTTCATTTTCTATATATCATTTTTGTATTGCATTTCTTTCTCACTTTATTCATTTACTCACAGGAATTTTTAGATCTGAGTATGCTGTTTGCAGAATTCAAAATTTCTTTTGATTGAACATTTAATTATTTATATGAAAAAGTTACTTCACTGGTAAAGAGTGGGCCATTTACCATTAAATACTAGATTCACAGGCCTAGCAACCTTTCCCAGGGATTCTGTAAGACTTATTGGTTGTCATCATAAAATTATGATTAGGGAGATTGTTTTGTGGTAAAAATCCTGTTCCAATGACAAAGCCTTTCAAAAGGCTGTCATTTGATGATAGAAATGAAGCCCACTTCCTCTCAATTATGGGGGTGTTTTATTTTAATCTTCCTAAGGCACACTGCTAAGCAGAGTTTCCTTTTTAAATCTTGTTTAACTAACTGTAGTACATGTTTTATTTGCCAGCACGAGATTATCCTTGGACGCTTAAAAACAGACGCCCAGAAAAACTCCGAGACTCACTCAAAGAGTTGGAGGTATCTTTTAAAAAGTTTCAAAAATGGCAACAAACAAATCTGTTTTAAAACATCTTTCAACAGCTTTAATTTTCATAAAGGATCAGCTCTCATGGTGATGATAGCTTTGCTTTTGTCCAGTGAGGAGTTCCAAAACAGTTGCATCTTTGTGTGGCATGTTGATCTTTTTTTGCTTGCAAATCAGAAGCACTTTAACTGATAATGACAATATATGTAACCAACTGCACTCTCTCTTTTTCTGTTGTACTTCAGGAGCTGATGGAAAACAGTCAGTGTGTGCTGAGCAAATGGAAGAACAAATATGTCTGTCAGGTAAAATGATTTGAGAAGCTTTTGAGGGTTTATAACCAATGGAGCTGAAAACTATGTAGTAATTGCTATTGTGTATTATGGTAGGAAATGCACAGAAACTTCTTAGGAGTGGATATTTCATAGTTTGAATTCTAGGTATTCTAAAGCTAAAACTAGACAGATTGACACAGGCCATCAGGCTCATTAATCAATAGTAATCAGTGTAGTTGTACTAACATAAACACTAATAAAAATCTTTTCATATTGTATTTTTTGTTTGGATCTGTTTTATTAAATGTTTACTTGCATAGACTTAATGATATTTTTGAATAAAAGATCACAGGACAAAAGCTTTTGGGCATACTACTCTTGTGTTTTTTTTAAATATCATGCTTATGGAAAACAACAAGCAGGCTAGAGTTAGACCTAACATAACAAGACATTTGTCTTTACCTTTTGAACTCTCTAAGTTGTACTGTTTACTGTGGTAGCCACTAGTCATATGTGGCTATTTGAATAATTAAACAAAATTAAAATTTAGTTCCTTAGTTGCACTACCCATATTTTAAGTACTCAGTAACCACATGTTATCACATTGGACAATGCAGATAGAGAAGATTTCCATCTCAAAAAGTTTTATTGCACAGTACTGTTAGAACCTTTACAAAGTGATCTAAATATTGAGTGATGCTAGAGTCAGAACATAACCAGGACATAAATGCCTTAGCTTTGCTGATAGGCTTTTAAAATACCCCTTGTTGAGAAAAATTTTATATGCTTGTGATAAAAAGAATAATTGTTAGTCATTCATGGATTTAAAGTTGCATTAGTATTACTAATAATTATAACTGGTTTATGGAATCAAATATTTTGTGTCAATTTAAATTCTTATTTACAGTGTGGTTTATATCAAACCATTCTTATTTGTAATTTAGCTGCATAGTTCTGTTCATGATATACAACATCAAATTTGTCATAATTATAAACAGATTTATAATTACCATTTGAATATAGACTATTATTTTAGTGGATCCTGGTTTTTCCCCATTTTTTATCTAAACTAGTCTACCTTTACTAATGGAGGTATTATTATGTTACCTCCTCAACTAGCATATATTGTTATCTTTCAGAGACTGTTTATAAGGCTGAATTAATATTTTTAGAGACAAAATACTTCTTAAATTTGCCTTAGAATACTATGAAAAAGGATGAGATTTTAAAAAATTATAGCTTGTTTGAATAATGGTAAGTTTTAAATCAAACTTTAAAACTTGAGTACAAAATATGTTTCAGAAATTTTCAAACTTAGTACAACTCAAACTTGTAGTTCTTAATGCTATTACTCACCTTAAAAATAGGCTGAAAATTATTTGACTGGAGGGCAAGCCTGCCACCTATAGTGAGAGGTGTATCTCATGGCCTCCGCCCTTACCCATTACACAGGGTAAGTTGGAACATGTTGGCATCTTAAAATATGCAGTGTAGCATCCCGATAGTCCTTTTTAGATAGATTTTATTGCATTTTAATGTAATAGTGTGTGTGTGTGTCTGAGGTAGGGAGGGGCATTTGGAGAAGGATGCTCCTCACTATTGAGTTAATTCAACACATTAAAACAATTTTCATGATAGAATATGTATATATAACAACTTTTGTAATTTACAGCAATCTAATAATAATACCAGTTAATTAGGCTGGTGCACCAATGAGTCTGCTTTTAATATTTTCAATAGGACTTAGCTCTTTTATGTTTTGTCATATTTTGTACTTTATTTCTGTGATGAATAAGATTTTTTTTAAGTAGACATTTTGCTCTTAACACATTCTTTTTTAAAATTTCAGATTTATGTGAGGGCACAAACCATTAGGCTATATAATTTAAGCATGTAAAGTTGAAGTTGTAGCTATGTTCTGCTCCCAGGAGTGTGCCATATATCCATGCCTGTACCTGCTGGGTGAGAATTTACTGAACCCCTTGCCCCCATCTTGAATATTATTGAGTTTTTCTCTTGTGTGGATTGGTATTCAGTATGTGTGATGCTTGTTTTTCCAATTTTGTAATACTTAAGAGTGTTCTCCAAATCTACCCTGGTTGTTACAAAGTATGCAAAATCTCCATCTTTTTTATGGCTTAAAAGTTTTCCATGGTATACATATACTATAGTTTATTAATCCTTTCATGTGTGATAGGGGCTTGGGTTGTTTCTAAATCTTTGTAATTGTGAACTGAGCTGCTATGAACATTCTAGTACAAATGTCCTTGTGGTAAAATGACTTTTTTTCATTTGGGTAAATGCCTCGTAGTGGGATTGCAGGGTCAAATGGTAGGTCTACTTTTAGTTCTTTGAAGAATCTCCATACTTCTTTCCAAAAAGACTGTACTAGTTTGTAGTCCCACCAACAGTGCATGAGTGGTCCTTCTCTTTGTACCCATGCCAACAATTGTTGCTTTGGGACCTTGTGAGGTGGGCCATTCTCACTGGGGTTAGGTACTATCTCAGAGTGGTTTTGATTTGCATTTCTGTGATAATTAGGCATGATAAGCATTTTTTCATGTGTTTATTGGCTATTCTTCTGTCCTTATGAGAGAAATTTCTATTCATATCTCTTGTCCAGTTTTTAATGGGGTTGTTTGCTCTTTATCTTGTTGATACACTTACTAGATTCTAGATCTGTTAGATTCACAGCATGCAAAATATCTTCTCCCATTTGGAAGGTTCTCTTTTTGCTTTGTGGATTGTGTCTTTAGCTGTGCAAAACCTTTTAAAGTTGATCAGATCTCATTTATTTATTTTTGTTGCTGTTGCAATTCTCAGTGGGGTCTTCTGGTCTTCTTCCTAGCATATTCTCGATGTGATATATTTTAACAAGATAATTTCATCTCCACCCTGCCCACCAGTTCAGTTTAGGTCCCATATCTGTAGAGCTTTAGAGAGACCTACTAAAATTATCCATCTACTTCTTCAGTTTCTAAATAGGAATCTTAGTTAGGTCTTGTAAAATGTGTGTGTGTTCTATTCTAAAAGAGCTTTAATATCACAATAAATTAAAATTGTTATACTCAAGATAAATTTTTAGCTTAAGGAAAGGATCCATTTAACTTTTTTATTAAATTTCTGTTAAATTTTACTTGGTTATAAAATAAGTAAACCATCTCAACAGGCTCCCCTAAAGTCCTCTTTTTGTGCACATGTCCAGTATGGTGATTCCAACCAAAGGTAACACATTTTATTGGTGATTCCCTCATATGTTAGCCCTAAAATGGCAGTAGCTGATCACAGCATAAGATTCTAGAACTCCTAGAAAAGGAGTGAAAAAAATTGCTCACCATCTTGGTGCTAACACATTTGTACTCACTGTCTTTTAATTTGGCTACGTCTCTTCTAATGTAAATGTTTGACCCCAAGAAATGGTAAATTTAGGATTTGTAAATTTATTTTAATTGTTGTCTTTTTGCAGTCCTGTTTCTTCTAAAAGTCCAATTGTTTAGAAATGAATGAATCATTTCAACAACATAAAGGATTTCAGAGGATGCATTCTGAGCTTGGATCTTTCCCTGTGTCTAATGAGGATTTATAGGTTGTCACTATTACCAAAACTTAATTAATATTGTCAGTTTAATGACCTGTCAATTGTACCATTTAAAAACATAATTTCCATCACTTACAACTTCAGAACAGTTTACAAATCAAGACTTACATATATATTAATATATGTTGAGGATAAAAATTATGTTTTCAGGCTAATTTTTCAGACTATACTTATTACTAGTTTAAGATGTATTAAAACAGTGGTTCCTAATCAGGAAGATTCTGAACCTTCCTAATGCCACAATGTATTTTCATTATTAAAAAGGGGTTGCAGCCCACAGGTTGAAAACTGCTGTATTAAAAAGTTGGACATAGATAAAAGTTATGTTTTCATGGTTCAGTGCTTGTAGCTCAGTGAGTAGGGTGCCAGCCACATACACTGAGACTGGCGGGTTCAAGCCCAGCCTGGTCCTGCTAAATAACAATGACAACTGCAACCAAAAAAATAGCCAGGCATTGTGGTGGGCATCTGTGGTCTCAGTTGCTTGGGAGGCTGAGGCTAGAAAATCACTTAAGCCCAAGAGTTTGAGGTTGCTATGAGCTATAATGCCACAGCACTCTACCCAGGGCAACAGCTTGAGATTCTGTCTCAAAAAAAAAAAAAAATTGTGTTTTCAGGCTAATATTTTAGACTATGCCTATTACTAGTTTAAGATGTATTAAAAGGTATGACATAGAATTTTAGTTCTACCCACTATTAGATATATTTCTCACTTTTATTTTTTTGTCTCCTAAAATCACTTCATGAAAGAAGGTATTTACTGTCTCATTTTGAATTTCTTAAACCATTATACAAACTTTCCTTAGAGAATAATAGTTTCATAATTAAAACACTATAAATGCATCACTGTGATGGGATTTTTTTAAGGGCTATGAAGTATTGTGCTTTAAGTCACATTCATGTTTGTAGATTTACATTATTAGTTTAAAACAATATTATCATTAAGCATAAATGTAACCTTACATGTTGATCTTAGATTAAATTATTTGAATTATGTATGTAAATTTTACTATAAAAGGGTATAATATATTACCCTGTAGTCTGGATTCTGTCTATAACAATTCTACATTTTCAGGTACAATCTTAAAATGTCACAAAAGTTAGTTTCCTTTTTCTAATTCCTGTAATGAATTATTTGACAGGCTGTACAAGAGTAAATAATTTTCCAAGCCTGTCACCTCATGGAACTCATTTGATCGCAACTTCCTTAATTGTAGAACCTGATCTTTCTTTTTATAAAATTGTGTGAAAATTAATTTGATTTCCTAATAAAATAATAATAGATAACTGTGGTTTTAAGTTATGAGTACCTATCACACCATATTAATTGACTGAAAACATTGTGCAAACTGTCGGAGTCACTAAGGAAGTATAAATTATGGGCTGAGACCAAAGTATAACCTTGTCAAGGAAAATAGACACATAAAAATCA